GTGCTGAGTTCGGAGGAAGTTCCTTGATACCTGCTGAGACTGGAGGGCAGATAAAGGCCCTAAGGAGTGTTTAGAATTACAAAAGTCCTGTTAGCATTGCTGACACTAAAAGGTTTCTGGTTAAAGATTTTCCTGGAGGCTACTAGAACTCTGGCTTCAGATTGACTCACAGTTTTCAAATTTGTTGGAATACAGTTCTTCAGACTGCTTTGTTAATATTCTTTTTATTTCAGTAAGTTTGGTTGTGTAATTTATTTTATTTCTTATTTGCATCTTTGCCTTTTCCTGTGTTAAATTCAACAGTTGGTCAATTTTAATAATCTTTCCAATGAACCAACTTCTAGTGTTGTTGATAATTTCTGTTATTTCTGTTTTCTGTTTCACTGATTTCTGCTAAAGTTTTTATTATTCCCTTTCTTCCTGTGAATACAGGTTTTTGTTTGTTTGTTTTCTAGTATTTAAAGATGTTGTGTTAAGATATTAATATTGGTTCTTCTTTTATAGATGTGTGATTTTTTTTTTTTACCTTAAATTTTCCTCAAGCTCAGCTTTGGTACATTCCAAAGAAATTAATTATTTTTCTTTGATTTTCTTGTTGTTGATTTCTAATTTTATTTTTAATTTCATGGGGTCTAGTTGAATGATGGTCTTGTTTAGATATCCTGTATTTTTGTTGAGTTTTTTTCCTACTTGTTCAATCCTTTACTAAAAGTGGTGAATTAAATTACCATGTTATTGTTGTGGGGAGCTCTGGTAGCATATAGTGCCTAAGGCACTTGAATGCTAATCAGAAGACTGGCCATTCAAACCCACAAGCCACTCCTCAGAAGGAAGGTGGGGCAATCTACTTCCATAGTGATACTGCCTCGGAAATCCAAGGAGGGGTTGCTATGAGTCGGGTCTGACTCAACAGCACATAAGAACAACAACAGCAATTATTGTTGTGGCATTTACCATTTCTCTTTTCAATTCTGTTGAAGTTTTGTTTATTTATTTGGAGGCTCTTTCATGGATGTGTAGGTATTTATTATGGTTTTCTCATTTTGTTGGATTTATCTTTTAATCATTGTATCATATCCTTCCTTGTGTCTTTTGCTAGCTTTTGCCTTGAAGTATATTTTATCAGACTTTAATGCTGCCACTCCTGCCTATTTTTTTTTTTTTTGTGACCATTTACTTGATATATCATTTTATGTCCTTTGATTTTTTAGCTTTTTTTTTTTTTTTTTGGTCTTTGTGTCTAAGTTTT